TCGCCGCGCCGTTGAATGGTTCGGGTTCTGGGTCGCATGCCGGGCATGCCTCGGCTGCGTTTACAAGGGCCGGAGGCTCTCTCTCCTGCTGATGTGTTGAGGTGTTTGTTCTCTCCGGTTCCGGAGCTGGGGGGGTCGGCTCTGTTGTCGTCTCCTCAGATGGTCGGGGTTCGGGTTCCTGCCTCGGTAATGCGTCTGCCGGCCCTGCCGCTACTGACACACCAAACAGCCGCATAATATCGGCATATGATACCTCCGGCAATGTCTCCGGCGGGTTCGGCTGCCAGTCACCTGCATCTATCGGCACGGGGAAACCTGACCAAAACACAGATACCCCTTCTGGGGTAATAATGCTGCTTCCCTCCGGCCCGTCCGCCGGTATATCAGTCATTGAAAACCACAGCCTGCGGGATGTGCGGTATTTTGACTCAAGCGCCTTGTCAAGACCTGACGGAAAAAGCGCTTTCCATGCTGCATATTTTCCCTCTGGAATTACGAGGACTGCACCCGGCGGCGTTGTGCCTTTCCGCAGCCGAATAGTTCCGTCCTCTGCAATATCTACAAACCCGTTTAGTGCGGCTGGTATGCATGTCATGCGGTCCCCTCCCCCGGCTGCTTGGCAAATACATCACACAAAGGATCGCTGTGATGTAAATCCCTCTCATGCCGTGTTAAGGCCCCCCCGCAAAAATCGCTGCCGATGAGCGCGTTTACAAAAACAGCACAAAATTTAAGCCGTTTAACGACAAATAGACTATTGTCTTTTGTCATCAGCTGCGGGTTTACCGACCCGCATGCGGCTGTTTTCATGGTATTTCCTCCGGCGCTTTTGGTATCAGTGTGATGATGCCGGTTGTGTTGTCTATGTATCGTTCATACCGCCTTCCGACGCATTCATACGGGACGGATATAATTCCACCGTGCCCGTTTCTGCGTGCGGTGCGTTCGGCGAGTTTCTCGCCGTATTTTTTGCTTTCGCACTCAAAATTTAGGTTTTTCATATTCAAACCTGTGCGGCGGGCCGTGATTGAAAACCGGTTGGTATAACCAAGATGAACACCTAAAAAAGTAATTGCAATGTGTAATCACATTGAAGGAGAAAATTACTTTTAGGGTATCCGCTTGGTTTCGGGGTTCACGCCACCCGGGGTCCTCGCGGCTATCCACCGCCTGATATCTTTATAGGTCTTTCTAAAATAAAAAATCGCCGTTTCTACGTCGTTTTGTGAAAAAACGGTAGATTACGGGGTGATAACATATAAACTTATCTGGGATAATATCCCACTATTTTGGGGTGTGGGGTTAAGCCGCCCCCGCCTCTATAGTCATCATCACAAAGTCAAAATGCCGCTCCTCATCTGCGGGTATGCCGGCCTCATAGATAGCATCCATGAGGGCCCGGGCGTCCTCAATCCTGCCGGTTTTTGCGGCTATGATGACATCCTAAAAAGTCGGTGTGATGGATGGTTATGGTTTCGGGTCTTTCACACCACGCGGCGGGCCGCCTGCAATGCAAAAAAAAGAATACCTACTGCCCTAATATAGGGTATCATGAAAGGCGTGCTTTGGAAGGCGGTCGATTTGGCTGCCGTTGGTATCTGCATGGTTTGCGGCTTGGTTCTGTTTGCCGGCGGTGAGGTTCCGCAGATGTATGGTGCGGTGGTTCCGCTTGGGTTCGTTGCGCTGGGGATCGGGTCGATGATTACCGATCTGCTCGGCCTCCGGCTACGTGTTGATTGCTGATATCAATCGAAAAAAAGAATCGACCACCACGCGGGGATTTGCCGCACGTGGTCGTGTCGGCTAATTTGGGTGTGTCTTGTCGGTCGGCTTCCTCTGCGTCCTCGTCCCTCAATTCCCAACCGATGAACACACTTCTACGAAGATTGTTCATTCTTTTGCTTTCTTCGTTCTTTTGTGCGGTATGCATGCCTGCAAGCAGTTGAACAGAAGATCTTACTAGGTCTCGCGTCGTGTGGAATACATGACCCACAGTTTTTGCAAAGGCGAATCGAAGCGGATTTGCTTAACCAATATTTTGCATCCTCCATCATTTTTAGATACAGCATACCTGACTTAGAAACATGGACATCACGTTCACGGAAGGGAGTTTGCCCGAATTGTGCCCGAAAATCTGCCAGAAAAGTTTCACTCTTGAGATAGTGTATTGCTTCATTCGCACATTTTTTACTACAATATCGTTTTTGTTTACCTATTAGTTCTTTACCACACCATTCACAGTATAGTGTTAGATGATTAGTGGATATTTCATGATATTCGTATCCTTTTTCTACATATTCTTTTAATATCATGTCAAATTCTTCTTTTGATTCTGCTGTATCAATCCTAATCTTAGAATTCTTTGGATCATACGCAGCGTAGAAAGGTTGGCATACAAATAGTATACTCGTTGAGAACTTACGATTACAAATCAAATTAAACACTGTATTAGTCCAATTGTCCTTGCCGCGCGTTGTTATCTGGTCTTTCATGCTTACCTATGCGCTGTTAAAATATAATAGTTTTTAATTGCGCGGAATAAAAGACGTTGTATTAGCAATGCGCGGAATAAAAGACGTTGTATTAGCAATGCGCGGAATAAAAGACGTTATATAAAGACGTTAATGGCAATTTAAGGACTTTAATCTGATTTTTTAGTTCTCTCATCCAGATACATTTATATAGAATGGACATATAATAACTAGAAAGGCGGTTCGAATCCGCCTGGGAGTATTATCTATGACGAACGAATTTGTTCCGGTCGAACCGGAGACGGCGGCGGCCGCGGAAGGGTACGATAGTTCTGGAACAAGCTACGGCCGGTCAGTGAACCGACGGCCGCAAGATTATCAGATTGGTGCGGAGCGACTTTTTATGAAGAATCAAGCGAATAAACAAGATAAAATAATAGAGATTCCGGTAAACAGGAAAATCTTCAATATGCTGGACCGACCTGAACGCACGATAGCACTCTGGGGCGGGGCAGCGTCAGGCAAGACCTATACCGCTATCCAGTGGGCGGTATCGCAGCTGCTGGTGCCCCATCCTGAATACGGAAGCGAGGGATGGACGTGCTACCTGTGCCGGCGGTATCGTACAAACGCCGAATCTGATCTCTGGGACCCGCTCATGAAGCAGCTGGTGGTGTTTGGAATTGCCGATCTGTGTACTATCAACAAAGCGAAACTCACCGTGCGGTATACGCCGGAAGGCACCCCAACGGAGAATATGATTCACGTTCGCGGTCTCCACAGTCCGGATAAGGTCGAAGGCAACCCTGGTGTGTGGATCATCGACAAGGCGAACCAGATTACCGAAGACACGTATCTGCAGATAACTAACCATACTGGCCGTGCGTTCGGAACTCATGGTAAAATCGTTCTCATGTGGAACCCGGTCTCAAAGTCCAGCTGGCTGTATAAACGGTTTTTTGCCGACCCCACTCCGCCCCCGTACTTCGCCGACCTGCATCTAACCTATAAGGACAATATCTGGAACCTCTCACCCAGCTACGTCGTACAGCTGGTATGTGACTACAAAGGCAAGATGCGGGACGTATATACCCTCGGTAAATGGGGGACGGCAGAGGGTCTCATCTATGCCAAAGACCAGTGGCAGGTCGACGACGTCCCCGACGAGATGCTCAAACGTCGTCCGTATGACTGCATTGGGATAGACTGGGGTATCAACCATCCGACGGCGGTGGTCGGGATCACCATCTTCGACCCGTCGCCTGCAACGGATATGCGGATGGTTGTCGCGGTCGACGAGCTGTATTACCGGGCTGGGAAACGTGCTATCGCGAACGTCAAGGATTATCTCACTTCCCTGAACTTGCCGCCGATTCCGATCTACTGTGATTCGTCCCGGCCTGACTCCATCAACGATCTGCGGAGCGCAGGATTCGATGCCAGAAAAGCCAGTAGACACGTGTTCAACGGGCTCACGTATATGCAGGGATGCTACTTCCTGATTACCAGTCGGTCGAAAAATGTTATCAAAGAGATAAAGAACTATCAGTGGGACAAGAATCCCGACGGCTTCTGGCTCGAGCAGCCGCTAAAAGAGTGGGATCACGCTATGGACGCTATGCGGTATGCAGTGTATACCTATCACCAGGAAATGAAAGCAAATTCCACGAGGGGAGCATAGTAAGAGATGAGAAGAAATATGGCAGTGCATCAGAGAGAAACATCCAGAAAAATAAGGATTGAAAACTTGTTTCTGATACCCCTTATCTGTTCTTTTATTTTCGGAGATATTTACCGAAAATCACCATTTTACGCAGTGTAACGGGGTCTGGTTTCTCAGCTGGTGATGATGTCCCTCTGCAATTCCCAATCTCTCATGCCCTGTCGTATTTTCCTCGCTTTCCTTTTTTTATCGATGCAAACATCTTTTTGTGAAGGAATTAATAGGATAGGCACGGATAAGGGATTGAACAGTAGATGAGTAAACTGGATGACCTGATTACGGAACTTTGTCCGGATGGGGTGGAGTATAAACAACTTTCTGATTTCTTAAAAATCCGAAATGGTCGGAGTTATTCCAACAGAGAGGCCGGACCCATTCCAGCTTATGGTTCTGGCGGTATCATGGCATATATTGATTCATATACGTATAATCAGCCATCTGTCTTAATTCCAAGAAAAGGTTCGATTAATAAATTATATTATGTGGATGAGCCATTCTGGAATATCGACACAATATTTTATACTGAAATTAATCAAACTCTTGCATATCCCAAATTTGTGTATTATTCACTGCAGAAATTACATTTAGAAAAATTAAACAAAGCGGGAGGGGTCCCAAGTCTAACTCAGGAAATGTTAAATAAAGTCAAAATACCCCTTCCTCCCCTCCCCGTTCAGTCTGAAATAGTTCGTATCCTCGATACGTTCACGGAGCTGACGGCGGAGCTGACGGCGGAGCTGACGGCGAGAAGGAAGCAGTATGAATATTATAGAGACAAAATCCTGACATTTACGGAGGGGGTGGAGTATAAGAAATTATCAGAGTTATTTAACACTCGAAATGGATACACTCCGTCAAAAAGTAATACATCTTTCTGGGAAAATGGAACAATCCCTTGGTTCAGGATGGAGGATATACGTATTAATGGTGGAATTCTCACAAAAGCGAGGAAATACGTTTCTAAGGAGGCTGTAAAAGGTAAACCCTTCCCTGCAAATTCTATAATAATATCAACATCTGCCACTATTGGTGAACATGCATTAGTTACCGTAGAATCGCTTGCAAATCAGCGTTTTACTAATCTGACATTAAAGGAGAAGTTCCAAAAATCATTTATTCCAAAGTTTTTGTATTATTATTGTTTTAAATTGGATGAATATTGTATTTCGCACACGAACAAGGGGAATTTTCTAACAGTAGACATGAATAAACTTAATGATTTCATGTTTCCCCTTCCTCCTCTCTCCGTTCAATCTGAAATAGTTCAAATTCTTGACCGTTTTGATAAACTCTGCAATGACCTCACGCAGGGTCTGCCCGCAGAAATAGAAGCACGAAAGAAACAGTATGAATACTATAGAGACAAGCTCTTGACATTCAAGCAAAAGGAGACAGCAAAATGAAAAACAACACTGGACGAATCTTTATTAACTCTCGCAACATAGTAGTTCATTACGTCGTGATTATTTAACCTCCGCACGGCGCCTCAGTTTCATCACACAGACACTCATACATCACACCATTATACTTTTTTTTCACAGATCTCTCCAGGATAGGAACTTCATTGGCCTGTGCTTTCCTTCCCCACGCATACCCTTCGGGGAGCACCACGAAAACAATTCTCCAACGCCCAATCTACAAGAGACGCATCTGAGGAAACCCATGACCGTCCGGCAGTATCCACGACTTCAGCAGTATGCCGATAGTGATAGCTGTAAACGCCAATACTGACAGCATCGAGGATTAAACCAAATTCAAGAGAATAATGTTTACTTACCCCCATTGAGCATGAAGAACCCCCTGTTGATACCTCCTTATCTGCTTTTAGAACATAGTATTCTTTGCGTCGTGCTTTGGTACCATCTTCACGGCGCGGAGTCATACGAACACATCGTCAGTGGGGTGGTTTTCCCCCACTGGCCATAATATTGCTGTTTTTTGCTGCTATTCTCCACAATTTTGCATGAATTTCATCCCGTAACGGGGTCTGGTTTTCTAGCTGGTGATGATGCCCTTCCCAAAATTCAATCTCTCAATTCCTGCCGTATTTTCCCCGCTTTCTTTTCTCCTTGGTTTTTATAGTATGAGTTGCAAAGAATAGCAACAGGGCTTTTTTGAAAAAGAGAAAATCATCAAGATTTGAGCTTTTTCCGGTTTGCGGTTTTCGGTGGTTATTTCAGTTTTCAAAACAGACCCCGTTACGGATACCCCGTTACGGGGGTAAATGAAGGTAAAATCTGAATTGCGGTAATGTATGCGGTTGTTTTCCGAACCACAAAAAGAGAGATTCCGGCTCCGGCCCTGCTGGGGTCCGGCCGTGTTCGGTTCCGGAGGGCCTGCTGTGTGTGATATACATCACATCACGCGGCTGCGTGGTGGTCGGTTATCAGCTCCGGCCGTCTGTCATCAGCTGGTCGGTGGTCATCGATGTCAAAAATCAACATCCGGAAAGACAGCCTCCGCTCCGAAGACAGTCTTCCGGCGGTCAAAAGAGGGTATCAGGCCCTCACGGGTCTGAGGTGAACAACTGCCTCATGAACAGTTCATACCTCCTCAGGCCCTCGTTATTGCCCTTCGTATCGTGGTTCTGGGGCGGGTTCTGCGGATCGGTGATGTATACACCCGCATCCTCATCCCGCAATTCCCATCCAATGAACACGCTTCTCATCACGCGGCCGGCAATGCGGGCCTGCTTCTTACAGCATTCATAACCGGCGGCGATCTCGTTATAGAACCGGTTGACTAACAGGCTGTTCCGGGCCATGAAGTCTTCTAACTTTCCTGTGATCTCAATACCGACCGCGCGCGTCCAATTCAAGAACAGGTATTTGCCGGCCGTCCGGCGGTTCCGGTTCCGGACCATGCGGGTCTTCATGAACGCGCGTGTTGTCAGCTCAGGTTCGGATTTAGCGGATTCTAACGCTGATTCTGCCCATTCCCCGGCGTTGGGGATATTTTGGGATTTTGCATATCGGATGAGGAATATCAATACATCCTCTTCATCAGCTGGCTTCTTTCCGCAATACCACGCGTTCCGTGCGGTGTTAAAAGAGTATTTCGCTTCTTTTAGGGTTTTGACCGGTTGCATTGTAGACATTGCTTTTCTCCACAGAAGAAGCGACGCCTTTTTACATCCGGTTAACCTAAATTAACATGCACGATGGTTGCCGAAAGGCAACTTCTTCTTACTCTTCTTGTTACTCTTCCCAGTAAATAACCCCTGCTGTTTTGTCGTCGATCCTCTCCTATTCTACATAGCAGGGCCGGCCCTTTATCGTCTTATTTGCCTTCTGTGTGGGTCTTAGCGGCTTTATATTCTGCAATTAAACGCACCCTGAAGGAGAGGCCGACCCGAGGAACGCGGCCATAGCGATCGCAGCCATGCGAGAAGATGCAAAACTCTTACGATTATCCGAATTTGTGGAAGAAGCCCAAGCAGCAGCCGTTCCTCCGCATCCGCCGGGTTCTTAGTCGGAACCGATTCTGTTTACCATCTCGATTTTCATCTTAGTTTCTGTTATTTTTACCGCTCCTTACGTCTGTATTCGTTAGCTATGCGTCTGTAAACCGATGGGGAGATGTAGAGTTCGCAGTCCCATCTGTCCGAACGGTCTTTCATCTTTTTGCAGATGTAGTTGACCATAGCCTCTACACCCTCGCCTGTTAATGCTAATTCGTCATCGATCACCTTCCTAAGGCACCAGTTGCGGACATACTCCCGGAACCGTTTCTCCTCCCGCCACACGCCGATGCGCCAGAGGAACTGGAGGAACAAGAGGCCGAACAAGGCGCCGACGACGAGGAAACAGGGTTCAATCACTGTCTCCTCCCCAGCGCGGCCTCCTCAGCCGCCTGATTACTGTCTGTGTCGATGATCATCTGTTTACCCTTTTCGATCACCCGCCTGACTATGTGAGAAGGAGTGTCGTCTGTGATCCGCACCGACCGGAACACGTCGATTACATGATCACAGACCCACCCCGTGATCCTCTGATTGCCCCGGGATGTATACCAGATTTGCCAGTCATCCTTCATACATCCGGCAATTTCCGACGGAGGGATCGGGCATTTGGGATCAAATCTCAGTCTCAGCGGCTGCCTGAGAGCACCTGGAGGGAGATACTCTTCGATTGCATACACACCATCCATGCGGCCCTCAATGGATGTGATAGTAGTATCTGCTTCTCCTTTGATCTTCATATGGTGGTCTCTCTCTCTGTGGGTATTTCCCTCTGCCGATCGGTGGTTCACAGCTCCGGATTGTCAGCTATTCGGAACGACTTGCGGATTTTGATGATACGGGGCCGCTGTGGTTCTGCGGCCGCTTTTTGGGATTTTTCCGCAAATTCGGATAACCTTAAGAGTTTAGCATCTTCCCGAACAGCTGCTATTGCTACGGCGGCGTTCCTTGGGTCTGCCTCGCCGATCGGGGCTCCTAAGTATTCATCACAGGCGCGCTCTGCCAATGCCTCTAACCGCGTGTGATATTTTCCCAAAATCTCCCAATACTCTGCGGCTTTATATTCTGCAATTTGTTCCGTTGCCGTCCGTATGATCTTATTCACAGTCCTGAGGTTACGGCCTGTGTCTTCGGCAATTTCCCGCTGCGTGCGGCCCTTTACTGCCAATTCAATCATTCCTGCTGCCTCCTCAGTGGTTACGTGCCCTATGTTACCTGCCTCCGTTTGTTGTATTTTTGTTGCGTTTTGGTGGTTATTTTTCTTTCCCGCGCCCGGGTATTCGTGCGTTCCGCAGTATTGCGCCTAATTATTATTATGCGAAATTATGCGCAATATTGAACGGTGTCATTTTCTGCGGATGCTGCTGATTCAGAGCCGCCCGCCGGCCGCACCGGGTATTATGCGGTATTGCGGATCGGGGTTGCAAGGTATCCGCAGCCTATGTATGCACTGTTTGTATTACGCGCGGTATGATTGGTGTTAATTGATGTGACAAAAACAGTATGAGGTTCCGGGGATGCGCCTGGCAAACGATCCCCGGTTATCCGGTCGGAATGCATTAGTCAGATGATCCTCTTGGCAGCCCGGACAAATACCATTGATTTCACAACCGGTTATGATTGCCGGTTGGGTTCCGGCCCTGCTGGGGGCCGGCTTGGTAAAAAAGGAAGATTACATCAGTCAATAAAACGCGGGTCGATGGGAATATTAACGCCGATCTCTTCGCACTGCCTCCCTAAATTGATCAGCCTCATATCACGGGCCCGTGCTGGGTTAAATGGGGTCTTCAGGCGCTCTTCTTCCTCCTGCTTCCACTCATCTATAATCCATTGGTTATGTGGCTCCGGATGTTTTGCCTTGGTTAGGAGGTTCATCCCCTGTTTCCTCCATTCCTCCAAATCATCCCAAATGTAGAAATTAACATGCGCCTCTATGTTCAGCTCATAGCAGATAAACCCATAATTCAGGCCTTCCCTATGAAACATATCAGCTCCTTCAGGTTTCACGGGTTCGTAATTGTCCGGATAGGGATTAACCCAATCGGGCCCCATCTCTCCTACACTGTTTTCCCATTGCAAATGTCCGTATGCATGGTGCGTAAGTATATCATCATCGATCATGATGCCGTTTATCCATTCCTGCCACCGGCAATAATCATACTGGATGTTATACATGATCCGCGTCTCTCTGATTAGAGTGCCGTCAGGCATGCATGCCTTTACCTGTAAATCCTGCATTTCATCCGTGTCGTCACGGGTTGCTTCAATGTATCCGTTCTCAAAATCTACACGTTGGTAATGGTGCTTTGTTGTCATGCTTTCCTCCATACCCAGCAATGTAACCGCATGCCGTGGGCGTTGTAATTGGCATGATCAAAATATCCTTCTTTACCGCCTTGATGGATTTCAAATTCAACCTTGTTTTCCGGTATACCCTCATACCTTCCCACAACTTTTCTTGCAAGGCTTTCATCCAACGTCATGATATCCTTGCCTCTCCCCATCTCCTTTACGGCCTGCTCTTCGTTCATCCGTTCAAGATTGATTTCTATCTCCCCGTGATTCCGGCGGGCTTCAAAATACCATTTGTCATCTTTCTTCCCTCCGGACGATCCGGCGGTGGCGGTATAACACTCATATGTCGCTGTCATGAGCGCTTCCCCGTCTGGTGATGTGACTTTTACCCACTGTTTTGCAAATACCTTCTCAAGTTCTGTTGATACACGTTCCGCAAAACGTTCCCAGCTCTCGGCGGGGTCTTCCCAGTGAGTATTCAGATGCTTGCCAATCTCAACAACTCCAGCTCCGGCAATGAGAACGACAACACCGGCATACACAAACTCGCTAATTGCAGGTATTGCAGGGGCGGCGGCAAATACTGCCCCTAACGGAGGTTCTTCCTTATCGTTCGGTGCGGCATTGACAGCAGGGAAAAAAATGGAGGTTAAAAGGAGTATTGACAAAAATACTGATAATAATCTTGTTTTCATAATTTTTCACCTCAGTTACGGACGTGGCCCCTCCTCTCCATCCCATTCGGAAAAGGGGATTGAACCCGCCGGATCGTATGTGGTGAGCTGGGTGGGGTCCTCCTCAGGCGCGGGCGCGGGGTTGGTTCGCTGTTCCGGTCGCTCGTTGTGATGAGTGTTCCGGTCCGGATAGTCATCATCACCCGCGCGGCCTGCGCGGGCGTTGTTTTCGGGTTGCGGTTCGGAAACAGAGCTTTCGCTCTCCCGTTTCGATTTTTTGGTAATGTCGTTTGTAGTTGACATATACGGAAATATTGGTATCCTGCCTATATACTATTGCGTTCCGGCGGGGCGTCGTTTGTAGTCTAAATCCCGCCGGTTCGCACTTCTTCGGGTCGGTGGGTTGTTCGCATCCCGTCGGTTTCTGGTATTTCCTGTGGGGGCTGTGGTGGATCGCGGCCTCCGCTCGGGATTTTTGGCATATGTCAAAATCACAAAAATACGTTTTATTTTCTATTGTGTGTGTATCCCCCCCCCACCGCTCAAATGAGTTTCGGGGTCCGGCGGGGCCGCGCGCCCCGGAGCTCTTCTTCTTAACTCCCACACACAAAAAGGGGACATCTGAGAAAAAGTCTTTTTTTAGATGACACACAGTAAAAAGAGAAGAAGAGAGGTTTTTTTTTCTTTTTATCTTATTATACACAGTATTTAGATGTCATTTAGATGTCATTTAGATGTCATCGGAGCTCATTTCTGCCTCTGTTTACCCCTTCAGATGTCATCTTGATGACATCTCTTTTCTCTTTTCTCTCTCTCCTGTGTGTGTGATGCCATCAAGATGACATCTAAATGACATCTGATGACACATTTTCACGCTCGTTCCTGCCTTATTTTTGCTCTGCAAGCTCGAATTCGTCTCGGATGTCATCTGAGTGTGTTTTTTCTCAAAAATTCCTTGGAGTGGAAATGAAGGTTAAAAAATGTTTTGAAAAAGAATTGTATGGGGGGTGTCAGTTGATCCGTTTCTGTTGATCCCGGACTGAAAACAATTCCCTCCATGCTACTTCTGTTGTGGTGGTTTCTATCTCGTCTTCCTCAACCGTTCCCATCTCGTTGTAATAGTCCGGCTGGGTTGGGAGATGAACAAAGAACCCTCTCCTCCCTTTATATCGGGTCGGGGTGATTCCCATAGCCTCCAGCTGCTTAATGATCACCGATTTGGATACTCCTTCTATCCCGTCTTTTTTTTGGGGTGTCCATGATGCTGACTTTGCTTTTTTACTCAGAATTTCGCAAATATCTGCCGGATCTTCAAACGGGTTCACATAGCATATGTAATTTTCATAGACATCCTTAGTTTCATGAAAATCCTCCTCCTGTCCATGAGGGGCCGGCCTGCACATTGATAACCATTTCTGCAAAGGTGCGGCGCCGATCTGCATCCGCTGGTTATGGTCTCTGCACTCATCAGGGATGGTAATTTTCCATTTCTGCCTTAAGCCGGTATGTAGGATTGCCTGCCAAATGTCCCGAAAGCTCCCGTCCGCGTGGATCGTTTCCATGTATTCGCTTATCGGGATTTCCGCATCTCTGAAACTCTGCCGGGAATTAACGAAGAAAACCTTCGTCTCCATTGCTGAGGTCTTGAAATTCGGCGGGTGGTTCATTGTCAGAACACAGGTTGCCCTCTGATAAACTGAGCTCTGGTTTACGTATTTCCGTTCATATTGCTGTGTTTCATCACAGAGTTTCTTTACGGTGGCGCCGTCGGGTTCCTGCGGGTCATTGACAAACAACATAGGATACTGTGATATGTATTTTGCCAATTCGGGCCGGTATCTGCCTTTCCCGTCGATTTCTGTTGAGAAATCCACATTTCGCGGCGGTGCTAATCCAAGTTCGGAAAGTATCATTCCTAATGTCGTCTTCGATGACCGGGACGGCCCGGTAAATATTACCACACGCCTGTTTGCCGGTATGCAAGGGATGCTTGCCGCTGTTACTGACAGCAGATATGATACGGTCTCCCGTCCGACGTATGTCCCGATGTCGGCAAACACTCTTCCGGTCGGTTGATAGTTTGGGTCGTATTCCGCTTCCTTCGTTGTGAGATGTAATACAAACGGGCAATACTCCATCGCTGCCGGTTGTTTGCATTTCATGCCATCTTTTAAGGAGATGTAACCATCTAAGCACGGAATGGCGGTTATGGGTTTGCTGATGTCAATGTCCGGGATGCGGTCGGCGGTATGTAGGACGGAAATGTTCCGGAACATCTCCTCTGCGAATTTCGGATCGTATCCGAAGCCCTCAAAGTGCTTATTACACCACCGATTAAACGCGTCGTCCCTGCCGGATGAAACGAGCTTAACGATGTTGTTGTTTGGGTCAATGATTGCATAGATGCCCTCACCGGCCCTCTTGATATCCTTCAGCTTGCCGGCGTTGTTTTTGCAAATCTGATGAGCTGCCTCTGTCTGCCAGTTGTTCCCCCCTCCTCCGGAAAACGGCTTTCCCGCTGCTGGGGTTCCCGCTGTCGGTGCTGTCTTCTTTGACTGTTGTGATTGCAGAACATCCCTAATGGCATTGTCTGCGGTTCTTTCCAAATAATCCGGGCGACCCTGCACTTTTTCACGTTTTGCAAGTCCCGATGTCATGAACATCCGGATCATCTGTTCTTTATTGCACCCCGTCACTTCTGCGAGTTTGCACATTAAAGCATAGTCGGCCTCGCTTGGGCTGGGGTATCTGGTGGTGCTGCCTTCCCACAACGCCTTATACATCGGGATGCCGGTGACTCGGTAATACACTTCATCATCTGATCGGGACGGCTCCGTTCTTTTCATTGGCAGGGGTTCCGGAGCTGGGCCGGCGGTATTGAGAGATACTTCTCTCGTTGATGACATCGGCGGCGTGGGGTCTCCGAAAAGTTTAGAGTGGATTTCCCGGTATTCGTCTCCGGACAGCGTCCGGAGCACTCCCGGGTTTCTCCCTGCTCTCCCTGTGACTGTGAAATACCGGCCTTTACAATACATCTCAACGTTGTCTTTTCGCTTCCGGCCCGCCTTGCATTCCGGCGGGATGTCATCACACCGGAATATGATATGAAATCCTGTTCTGGAGGGGCTAATCTCGGTATAGCTCCCGACCTTGTCGATGATTGATTCTAAGTATGCATATTCCGGTTTCAGCTGCCCGTTCGCATCAATCACCCCATCCAAATCAATACCAATAATCCCATTTTTCAACGAGAACCCGATCCCCACAAACCCCCGGTATCCTGCTGCCATTGCTTCCCGACAAGTTTCATACGACCAATTCGCTTCCGGCGCCTTTGCAAACCCGTATGTTTCGGGATTGATAGGGATTTTTGTGGGTTTCCCGTCTCGCTCTCCGAATTTCCAGCACAGCCATTGATTCAGGTTCTTGAGTTCTTGCGGGATCGCCGCGCCGTTGAATGGTTCGGGTTCTGGGTCGCATGCCGGGCATGCCTCGGCTGCGTTTACAAGGGCCGGAGGCTCTCTCTCCTGCTGATGTGTTGAGGTGTTTGTTCTCTCCGGTTCCGGAGCTGGGGGGGTCGGCTCTGTTGTCGTCTCCTCAGATGGTCGGGGTTCGGGTTCCTGCCTCGGTAATGCGTCTGCCGGCCCTGCCGCTACTGACACACCAAACAGCCGCATAATATCGGCATATGATACCTCCGGCAATGTCTCCGGCGGGTTCGGCTGCCAGTCACCTGCATCTATCGGCACGGGGAAACCTGACCAAAACACAGATACCCCTTCTGGGGTAATAATGCTGCTTCCCTCCGGCCCGTCCGCCGGTATATCAGTCATTGAAAACCACAGCCTGCGGGATGTGCGGTATTTTGACTCAAGCGCCTTGTCAAGACCTGACGGAAAAAGCGCTTTCCATGCTGCATATTTTCCCTCTGGAATTACGAGGACTGCACCCGGCGGCGTTGTGCCTTTCCGCAGCCGAATAGTTCCGTCCTCTGCAATATCTACAAACCCGTTTAGTGCGGCTGGTATGCATGTCATGCGGTCCCCTCCCCCGGCTGCTTGGCAAATACATCACACAAAGGATCGCTGTGATGTAAATCCCTCTCATGCCGTGTTAAGGCCCCCCCGCAAAAATCGCTGCCGATGAGCGCGTTTACAAAAACAGCACAAAATTTAAGCCGTTTAACGACAAATAGACTATTGTCTTTTGTCATCAGCTGCGGGTTTACCGACCCGCATGCGGCTGTTTTCATGGTATTTCCTCCGGCGCTTTTGGTATCAGTGTGATGATGCCGGTTGTGTTGTCTATGTATCGTTCATACCGCCTTCCGACGCATTCATACGGGACGGATATAATTCCACCGTGCCCGTTTCTGCGTGCGGTGCGTTCGGCGAGTTTCTCGCCGTATTTTTTGCTTTCGCACTCAAAATTTAGGTTTTTCATATTCAAACCTGTGCGGCGGGCCGTGATTGAAAACCGGTTGGTATAACCAAGATGAACACCTAAAAAAGTAATTGCAATGTGTAATCACATTGAAGGAGAAAATTACTTTTAGGGTATCCGCTTGGTTTCGGGGTTCACGCCACCCGGGGTCCTCGCGGCTATCCACCGCCTGATATCTTTATAGGTCTTTCTAAAATAAAAAATCGCCGTTTCTACGTCGTTTTGTGAAAAAACGGTAGATTACGGGGTGATAACATATAAACTTATCTGGGATAATATCCCACTATTTTGGGGTGTGGGGTTAAGCCGCCCCCGCCTCTATAGTCATCATCACAAAGTCAAAATGCCGCTCCTCATCTGCGGGTATGCCGGCCTCATAGATAGCATCCATGAGGGCCCGGGCGTCCTCAATCCTGCCGGTTTTTGCGGCTATGATGACATCCTAAAAAGTCGGTGTGATGGATGGTTATGGTTTCGGGTCTTTCACACCACGCGGCGGGCCGCCTGCAATGCAAAAAAAAGAATACCTACTGCCCTAATATAGGGTATCATGAAAGGCGTGCTTTGGAAGGCGGTCG